GGGGACAATATTGTCCCGACCCCTAAGGGGTGTAAGGTCTCGAAGAGACAATCGAGACGCCGAGTAGCAGCTGTAAAGCGCCAGGCGTCCTCACAGTCACATAGTGAGATAAGCAATACACTATATACACTTGTTAATGGAGTGACTGGTCAGGTTAATGGCAATGTGAGCATCGAAACCCTTCCATCTGTGGACGCTCTGTGTGAGCTAGACGAAATGTCTGATGGCGAGTTTAGCCAGGCCTTGAAGGCAGGAGAGTTATCCGAGTTAGCAATCATTAGACCTGATACTGACTTGAATTCTTCCTCGTGAATGGATGAGTCTGTCCTAGAGGATACAAAGGCGGCACTTAGTGCACGAAATGGATCTTCGATCCTTAAAGATCCTTTGGATCCGTTCTATCCTTTAGTCAAGGAATTTCAAGATGTGGTGTGTCACAACCCACCTTCTGCCTTACCTCCCGATAGAGGTGTACGTCATGAGATTGACTTGGTTCCTGGAACTAAATACTGTGTAACACGGCAGTGGCCTTTGCCTAAAGAACAGTGCGACGTCATTGACGATTTCTTTCGTGCTAAGCACGCGGCTGGAATGGTTCGTGAGAGTAAATATCCCCATTCAACACCGACATTTTGTGTCAGAAAGCCAAATGGCAAGTGGCGTATTGTGCATGCTTACAATAAGCTTAATGCAGCCACTATACCGGCGCAGACGCCTATTCCTAAAAAGGATGTTCTTCAGAACAATATGGCGGGATGTACACTGTACAGTGCACTCGACTTAGTCGATGGTTTATACCAACTGCTCATGCGAGCATGCGATATTCCGCTAACAGCGGTGAGTACTCCGAGCGGTATGCTTTGGGAGTGGCTCGTTATGCCACAAGGGCTATCTAACGCTCCGGCTACATTTAACCGGTTGGTAACGCAACTATTCAGACCTCATCGAGGCTATGCACAAACGTACTTTGATGACATTTTTGTCCATAGTCGTGCAATGAATGGGCGATCAGATGTGGATAATCACATCGATCATTTACGAGCGGTTCTCGGGTGTATGCGGATGAATAAGCTGTATGCGAACGCATCGAAGTGCATCTTTGGTGCAGAAGAGATTCCCTTTCTAGGGTGCTTCATTGGGAAGCGAGGCCTTCGAGCGGATCCCGCTAAGGTAAAAGCCATAGTCGATTGGCCAGTCCCCAAGAACCAAAAGGACTTGCGTAAGTGGCTTGGCCTTGCCAATTACTTACATAAGTACAGTGCAAATTACGCAGATATGGCTCGGCCATTGTCCAATCTCCTTAAAAAGGATGTGGGTTGGTGTTGGGGTAACACCGAACATAATGCTTTTGAAGCAGTTAAGGAGAGTCTCCTTCATGCGCCAATATTGGCTTTGCCCGATTCTGGTTGGCCTTTCAGTGTCGTCTGTGACGCATCTGACTTTGCCATAGGCAGTGCTCTGTTACAAACAGATGTCGACGGACGCGAACGCGTCATCGCATTTGAATCTCGACAGCTAAAAGCTGCTGAAAAGAACTATCCTGTTCATGACAAAGAGCTACTTGCTATGAAGTACGCTCTTGTCAAATTCAGAGTCCATCTGCTTGGCTCGAAGCCATTTGTGATCTATACCGATCATGCGTCATTGCGCACTGCGACACAGTCGCCTCATCTCTCACAGAGAATGGCTCGTTGGCTTTCATTCTTTGCCGAATATAACTTCGAGGTGAAGTACAAGCCAGGTAAGCAAAACGCTTTGGCTGATGCGCTGTCGCGTCGACCTGACTATGAGCTTGCTCATGTTACGACCCTGTCGTCGTCAGTCCCTGACTTAATTCGTGCGGCATATGCCAAGGACGATCAGTGTGTAGCTTTGCTACGTGCTCTTGGGAGCGATGAGTTTAAAGACTCGGACATAGAATTGTCGGCACGTTTACGTGCGAGGCTACATCGATATTCCATCGATAATGGCCTGTTGTGCTATCGCACGGATATTGAGGACAACCCTCGTATCGTAGTACCTCATGATGAGGAATTAAAGTATCGGATCCTCTATGAGGCACATGATACTGCTTTAAGTGGTCATCTCGGTCGTGAGAAGACTTATAGCTCGGTGAGCCAGAGTTATTGGTGGCCCAAACTCTATAAGTGGGTGCGCACCTATGTGCGTACGTGCGAAACGTGTCAACGGGTAAAACCCTCGGCACATGCGGCGGCGCCGCTGGCTAGTTTGCCGGTACCCAGTGGTTGTTGGGAGTCCATGAGCATGGAATTTGTGTTTGGCCTACCGAAAGATTCGGAAGGCAACACTGGTATTGTGGTCTTTGTTGACCGATTGAGCAAGATGGCTCACTTAGCGGCTGTGCCGGATAGCATTGATGCTGAAGGTACAGCAAAGCTGTTTATCGACCGCGTCTTTCGCCAACATGGCTTGCCTGTGGCAATTATCTCTGATAGAGACCCCCGCTTCACTGGGAAGTTTTGGAAGTCTATCTTCAAGGTGCTTGGCACTCAGTTGGACATGTCCACAGCGGATCATCCGCAGACCGACGGTCAAACTGAGCGTGTAAACCGCGTCATCAACGACATTTTGCGCAGTGTTTGCGCTGATACGCCTAGGCGTTGGAGCTCAATGCTCCCTGTTGTTGAGTTTGCGTTGAATAACGCTGTTCATGCCTCAACAGGCTTTACTCCGTTCTATATAAACGGTCTCACTCACCCTCGCGTTCCCTTAACGCTATCACTACGTGAATCAGGGCTTGGTGGGGGAGAGGTTGCCGATCGGCTTGCTGATATCAGCCCTGCTACTGTTCAAAAACAGGTAAGCGAGTTTCTCGCAACGCGATTAAATGTCTTAAGACATGTGCGTGACGCAATGGCTGATAGCCAAGATACCCAAAAACAACAAGCTGATGCCAAAGGCAGAAATTGTATTGAACGTTATGAGGTCGGAGACCAAGTACTACTCAATGCTAAAAATCTACCTACAAATGAAGTGTCTGCTGTCTTTAAGACAAAGTTGCGTCCACGCTTTATTGGACCGTTTACGGTCACGGCCAAGAAGGGACTTGCGTATACGCTAAACCTCCCGCGCAAATTGCGCACACATCCAGTGTTCTACGTAGGCTTACTTAAGCCGTACCGGGATCCTTCCCATGTGAACTTGGAGGCGCTTGCGCCGACGACAAGGGCACTGCCCCGGATTGCTGTAGACGAATCAGCAAGTCCAACTGAGCCTCGCTCCGAATTTGAGCTTGATCCATCGCCTGAAGGCGGCTTTGCATCGCATCCAGCATGCACTGGGACTTACCCAAGGCCTCTTGAAGACCCTTCACTTCGAGAACCAATTTCTCGTGGGCCTCCACCGGTACACCGGCCGCCACCGACTTTGCTCGATGAGCATGGGTGTCGTCAATTCCATGTCGAGAGACTACTGAAACGACGTCGTCGTCAGGGCCAATACCAGTATCTGGTAAAGTGTCGTGGGTACCCTGAGTCTGAAAACTCATGGGAATTTGAGGTACCCCTTCGGCAAGACTGCCCATATGCTTTGGAGGCTTTTGAGCATCGTGGCCATGGTCATCTCGAGGCCGAGGCCGTTCACCACCACTAGTGGTGCGGGTTGGCGGGTTGTTGGTCACAGACTGACCAGCACTCGCGGCTACCTTAGTAGCCGAAGCATAGCGCGTGCGCTTGCGCAATTGGCCTCTGGCCTTAAGCTTGGCATAATCATACCGAAGCTTGCGTTCGAGACGCACATCCGCCGCATGGGCACTAGCCCTTAGAGCAAAAATGTTGCTGAGGCGACGCACATAGTGCACCCAGTGAACAAAGGCATCGTCTTCTTCACTCGCTGTTTCGCCTGCGAGCAGGAGAATGGGTATACCCTTCATCGGTGGAACTGGTGCACCACGTGCTTGCATGTCAAGGCGTGCCTTGTATTGACTTTGAGTCGTTAGGTGCGGCTCCAGGTACCTCTCACGAAGTGCCTGGCAGCTCACCACCTCCTCAGGAGTCTTAGGCCCATGGCCAATGACCCACGTTGCCAATGTTTGGCCGGCCGCTTGACGCAGACGTTCCTCCACACTGGGTGGGGTGAACACATAATCACGCTGGCGTTCAAGGGTTACAGTCATCTGTGCATAACGCTGAGCGTTTTCTTCTCTTTGAACAAGCAGTTGTTGTTGCTCATCGAGCGGGTTCGCGATGATTCTCTTATCAGAACCAGATGCTGCATGCTGCGCTGGCGGCGCGCTCGCACCTCCACGTTCAGCGAACGGATTTGGGGTGTTCGAAAGTTGTGCCTCAGGCATCAGTGAGCCGGACGTTGTCCCTGTGTCACCGCGGACACTGGTATCGCTACCATAGTCCACCTCTTCCTCTATTCCGAGGTAGTCGCACAGAGCCTTTGACTCGTTTGGTGATGAGGACATCGTGCTGGAGCGTACGTTACCGTGAGGTTCACCGTACGCGCACTGTTCTCGCTGAGAACACGAGTTCGATTGACGTTTTGGCAAACGTCAGTCTGGTGGGGGGAGGGTGTAACGGGGTTGCACGAAATCATGGTACTTTGTACCAGAGGTGTTACACACCTGAGGGTTCGCTTCTGTGAAGGTGATATAGAATATCTTATCGGTTTGTAGGGGCTGACGAGTGTCAGCCATTAGATACGAAAGATCTTTGAGTAGGATTAAGATATTCTATAGGCTTTAACAAAAATAAAATCAGTTCCCATTTTGATCTGAAAGACACGTGGCTTGCGAGCCGTCTTGATCGTTGATCTCTGATCACTGAGAGTTAGCGACACCTCCTTGAGGTAGCTACTCTTGAGCACTAAGTGCTGTCGATTCACTGAATCGTTAGGTCCCCTGGAACAGGGATCTGAAGCTATAAAGCTTGTTGACTCGTAAAGTCGTTAGTTCTTTAGAACTAAGTTGCTCGTAAAGCGTTAAGTCTTCCTCTGACTTAAGGAGCTGTATAGCTCCGCTACACAAGCGCTCGTCAGGGTGCTTGGCCAGTAGAAATAACGGGTGGTTCAAGATCGACGGATCGCGGTTGCCTCTGCTTGATGGCAAACCTTGGGAACCGAATGGCCATATCCAAGACGGAGCGACTTTTTGTTGTAGTTTCGGCCCGTTCCGCACCCGCATCGCGTTTCTGGTGCACACGACGCATGATTGACAGAATGAGACGCTTTAAGTTTAGTGTGGCGGCCTCCATCCATGCTTCGTACACTTCCTTTGGCTTATGGTCGATAACCTCGGGTTAAGATAGTTGTACCATAGCTCTTCTATGTTCAACCTTTCCACGCTGCGAAATAACACGATTGCAGCTCCGTACTCATTGCGGCCCACGTATGCCCAACCATCTTTTTAAAATCCTCGATAGGTGTTGCGTAGAACACAAGCTTACTTGGTCGACCGTGGCTGGGGATCAAATTGAAAGTCGTGGCTGGGTCGAGATGACTCTTCTGATCTTGCAGGAATTGCTTGAACTCGAACAGCAAGTAGCATGCGCACCAATACTTTGCACGCTACCATTCCGCACATTAAACTTGTCCAGAAATAGTTCAAAGATTTATGAGCATAGGATAGTCTGCTACGTTTTCTCGTCAGTTCCCAATCTTTCCAGCTTCTGCGGGAGCTGGAATAGCAGAAATGGGTCGCCACTCTCGATTTCGAAAAACTTCAGCGCCATCTATTCGAACGAACGCGCTGTCTCCGCGGACATATCGGCTGCACGACCAAACTTTTCTTTGTCGAAGAGTTTGTCTGCTTCTGCTGTTACCACGCGCTGACGTTCCCATCCCTTGCGGTAGACGGCCAATGCCTGTCTGAAATCGCGATCGTCACTATTACTGTAATATGGTAGCCCGTTACATGATGTTAGAACCACACGGTGTCAATAGGAATATTGTCTAGCTTGACAATATTCTACCAATATTATCCAAGATACAAAATATTGAAGAAATGTTATGTTCCTTTAATAATATTCATGCGCTCCTCCAATATTGATTGATAAAAGACATATCAACCATAGATTGCGACCAATAGCTGCTAGACGCGCGCAATGAGTGGTGAACAGGTTGTCGTCATACGACGACGTAGTTTAATGCAGTTAGATAAAGATTAAGGTTATATTGGTAGCTTAACTATATTGAATACAGTTCTTATTTTACCTTTACTTGACCGAGTTGTTCAAGTGGATTAGCTTCCTCTACACGTACTAGTGTACGTGAAGTTTCGTGGAACCCAAAAAAAGGTGCCCCGTTTCGCCCGGTAGCCTTTTGTATTCCTTCCAACGACTACTGTTATACGGGGTGTCCGTCCATGAACATGTTGGACGTAGAAGACGACAGCTTATACGTCACGCGTGAAGGCTACTCCCACCTGAGTGACTCAGAATGGGAGATAGTTGGCCGCATGAGTGTGCTCATGGGCGAACCCGCCATCAGTGGTATGTTGAAGTCTCTAAGCAGAGACCAGCAACATGCTGCTACAAACAAGTTCCTACACGGGGAAGTTGATGTCGAAAGACAGAAGATAGCTTTTGTAACGGGGCACCCTGAAGCTTGTACTGGTAACAGTACAAGCTACTTATTCTGATGACAGAATAAGGCGGTGCCTCGGAACTTCACGTACACTGGTACGTGCAGAGGAAGACGGTAAGAAGAAGCAAGTACTTAGTTTAAGTAAAAGTAGAACTGTATTTATCATAGTCAATGTCTGTTAATAAACCACTGTTTATCCTCATCTAACTATGCCTAAATACAATTGTGTAAATCAACTATCTGCTCACCACTCATTGCGTGCGTCTGTCGTGGCGCGTCTTCGTTGGTTGATATAATGGCCTATATCAACCAATTAGGAACTACTCGTAAGTGCTGCAGAATATTTTGGTCCTTATGACAATCTTCTGAGAATATAACTCTGATAGTTATATTCTACTAACAATTTCTTATAAATTTTTATGTAACGATTCACCCTACTACATCACCCCCCCTTAACCATCGGTCACTTTAGTGACTGATTGACTGAATGGATACTCGTCCCAAATTATTTGGGACGGGGTTTGCACTTGTTGGTCCGAGTCCACAGTCCAGTTTCATCGCATAGTTAACAAGCCTATGCGATGCGCGAGCAAGGCCGTCGAGAGCGCGTCCACACGTCTCTGTGCGGACGCCGAAGCAGAAACCACAGCAACTGATGTCTCATCGGTTGCTGAAGCGACTCAGCCTGTGCCACCTGGTGATGCAGGCGCTCGTCATGAAGACACTCATGACTTCACAGAGTATGAGCTCGGTGTCTCATACTCTCCTGATACGGAAGACGGATCCGTATCGACGGCGGTTGAAACCAAGCCGCCTGTCAAGCGTGGCATGGACGATGCTATGCGTCGCAGCATCTTTGGTTCATCTGACAAATCAGATGAACCATCGCCGAAGCAAAGGCGCTCGAGGTCGCAAGACACGAGCGCTCACAGTGGTGTCGGTTCTCCTATTGACACCACTTCGCAACGAGGTGCCAGTGCTTCTGTCGGCACGTCGCAGGAAGAGCGGGACCGCAGTGTATTGCGTCTTGCTCCTGAAAAAAAAAACCATGGCTGCCTCCAAAGTCAGTCATGGATCGCTTGTCGGCGACGACGAGTGATCGTTATCGAACACGATTATTTGATTCGTCAAGGATCCATCACCTTGACCCCAGTGCGAAAGACTATCGCGCTGAGAATGAATTCTTCATCGATGCTTTCTTCAAGCATCGATGGTACAGTGGGAATCACAAAAGTAATGGTCCCTCACTGCTTCAAGCGTGGAACGCTTACATCCATAACCTAGACGATGTAGGCCGTGACGTTTGGAACGACAAAATTATCAAAGCTCGTGATAAGTTTGAAAAGCGAACCCCGACAGGTGCACGCTATAAGCTGCATCATCTGTCAAGGGAGAAAGGATTACCCTGCCTCTCATGGGGAGACTCGTGCCCATGTTGTGTGAACAACTCTGCACGAGCACCTAAGGAGGCTTACCTCCTTACCAGCCCGTGGTGGCGCGTACGTATCTCTAGTGAGATGTACGAAGGGATTGACAACCTGAAATCCCTTTATGATCGTGCCAGGAAGACTTTCTCCAGCGGTCCTTCTGCGGCACAGGATGCGCTGCGTCGTACTGCTTAACCAGACCCAGTACGTCAACCATCAGTTGGGAGCGGGGCTCCCAAGTATCCCAGGACGGGGGATAGCCGCGCCACCGGACGAGGCGACTCGTCCGACGTCCGTTCACGTCGTGGTGGTTCAACAGCTGCTCAACCAGATAGCGCTGGCCACCGCGAGAGTCCTCTAATGGAGGTGGAGGAGGAGGGAAGACTCTCTCCACACAATCGTGGGGATACGTGTGTTCCCGAGAGCATCGTTGATCGCGTAGCGCAAGGGTTACGCGGCGATCTCGAACATGAGCGGGACAGGCGTCTCCAACTGGCGGACAATGTCTTGAAGCATCGAGATGAGTATGCTTTTGCTCAGCTTGAGAAAGAGAGAGCTCTGATGTCTCTTCGTGACGAGCTAAGGGTAGCTCGTGGGATTGTTGATCGGTCTCGGGATGAGATAACTGCTACTCAGACCCTTGTCGATGCCCACCATCGGGAGCACAAGGCTCTCTGCAAGATGCTTGAGCGCAAGGGCGTTCTTCATCGGAAGAAGCAGCGTACTGATGATACGGCTTAAGCCGACCAACGTAAAACGTGGGATGCGTTCGCATCTTACGTGGCAACTCGATCGTGTGTGCGTTGCCTAGGCGGTGCAATACACGAAATGGGCCGATGTACTTGGGTAGGAGTTTACTACTACCCAAGTTAGTCAATACATGCTTTGGTAGATTAACCGTAGACAGTAGGACTAAGTCACCATAATTAAATAAAAGAGTGTTTGCCCTCCCATTCTTGTCAGCGTTTTGCTTTTGCTTATCCACCGCTTCGGCGATGGAGTCTCGCACAAACGGACTACCGTTTCACGAGCCAGTATGAACTCATCTGATGACTCGTTAGCTTCAGTGCGCTGTGAGTGCACTACAGCAACATCAACCTTTTCTTCAGTGAGGGCTACCTCGCTCTCACTGGCATCATCTTCTTCGATATCGATGTTGTCGATATCGGCATCAAACGCAATGACCTCTTCTTCAGAGCGTGATGAGCGTGAACCTAATCGGTTTTTGCTCGTGCGAGTCCCTCCCCCCCTTAAACCAGAGTTACACTCTAGTAAGGTGGGTACACGCGGATGGCGTAAGCCATTCACGTAAAACGGTGTATGTGTCGTGGACGCATGCACCGAGTTGGTAATGGCAAACTCTACCATTGGCAAGAACTCACTCCAACTCTTAAAGGATAGTACGTATCCTCAAAGTATCTCTTCGAGGACACGATTAACGCGTTCCGTCTGACCATCTGACTCTGGACGATCAAATGTAGACATCTTCAAGCGCGTTCCGAGTGATTTGAACACGGAACGCCAGAAATCAGCAGTGAATCGTGGATCTCTGTCTGATACGAGTTCACGGGGCAACCCATGAAGTCGGAAGATGGTGTCGATAAAGACACAAGCACAGCCACTTGCCGTGATTGACTCTGGTACAGCCACCAGGTGTACCATTTTGCTGAATCTGTCAACAAATACGAGAATACCCGTATTCCCGAGTGCGTCTTTGGGTAACCAGAAGACAATATCCATTGAGATGGATTCCCAGCACTCAGCCGGAACTGGTAGAGGCTATAAAGGTGCATGCAGTGAAGGACTTGACTTCACTCGTTGACAGACTTTGCATGCGCGAACATACTTGCGCACAAAGTGATACTGGCGGGGCCAGTAAAAGTCTTGACTCACCGTGAGATATGTCTTCTCCCGGCCACGATGTCCTCCTATAGGAGCATCGTGATACTCGAACATGATCCGCAAACGCAGATCAGTATCATCTGGAATGACAACACGTGGTGTGTCACCAGAAACGGCTGTATAATACAGTAAACCGTTGCGAGTAGTGTATCGATCTGATGCAGATCAATACGCAGACGATAATCGTTTCAACGATTCTCGAGATGGTTGTGAGAGATATGTCAACAACTTCACAATCTCACCATCTTAGGCATACGCCCGCCTCACATCATCATGTAACGTTGAAGAAGGTACTG